AAGAAAGGCCTGGTATGTGATTTGTGAATAGACTAAGCATCTGTGAAACACTTTCTAAGATTCAACATTATAAGACTTTATTACAATGTGTTTGCTTTACCTGAGGAAACATTTTGAAACAGTCTCCAGATATTCAGTTAAAAGTTAATTTACAATAACATGTGGCATAATATCCCCCTTAGTAAAACCATCTTTTCACATTGTTAAAGAAATGTGTATCTGTATCTCTGTTTAAAAGCTGTGTCATCACATTATGGCTTCTACTATATAAAATTCATTAAATCTCTTGGATATGTGCTAGTACTAGTACTCAGCAGAGGTTTTCAGAAGTTCAACATCAGAAAGACTGACATGTACATAATATAAAAGTGGGACACATTTTGCTCCATTGCTTATTTTGAGTAATACCCTATTTTGCAACCATCGGTGTAGAACTTAGACTGAGGAAGGCTCAACCCCTGAGGAAGGCTGAACCCATGTTTCTTGTGTTGTGCTGGAAGCAATTCCCTTCATAGTAGCTGACCTGTGGGCTTTTTTGCCCCCCAGAAAATTGATTTTTCTTTCATAAGCATTGTACAAAAAGAACAGAGAAGAGTGCCATATGACAACATAAAACAGCATGGTACCACCTCAGACTGAGAACTCTCAGAATGACCAATACCAGTGCCTCTGAAGAAACACAAAAGCAAGGTCAGCAGTCAGCTTTCCCAGGTATTCTCTCCCAGTCTCCAAAGATTTATACCAAAAGTAGTTTCTGAGCTAGAAGTGGTCTGTTTGTGGTAGCTTTGTGGCAAATGTTTCAGAAGAAATAAAAGTTGAAAAATAATTAGGTTTAGCAATCTGTTGCTGGTATGCAAGGTGCATTTTTAAATGATCTATGCTCAGGAGAATGCCCTGAAAGACTTTAAAGAATTCTGTGTTGTCAGTGGCCTCTGTTTACGTCTAACCGTAGCATTGCATGTCACAGGAAGATGTAAAAAAAAACACAGAAGGAGCTGCTATTGTAATTTTCACCACTGATCTCATTTTTATAATTCCTTATACCTACCAGCCTGTGTGTATGCCACTTTTCTGTGCTCCTCTTGTCCATTCCCTCAGAATGGTGCACAATTTTCAAAGATCCTTTTTATTCGCTCTAATTTGGGTGCTGTGTCCATGTTGAAGAGGTCTTTACCAGAAAACTCTGGTAAAACACCAAGGATGTTGGAATGTGCCAGTGCCTGTCCAACTGTTCAGATTACCATGGTGTCCAGATGATGTAGGACATGAACTGCTTGATTATGTTGCCTGTGAAAAATGTTAAACCTAAAAATTTTGAGAACTAGGGAGTTCAACAGACTTTCAGAAAACTCTACGCAGTGTTAACTCATTTTGTTTAGTGGCTGAGAAGCTTCTCAACATTAAAGGTCTTCCTCAAATTGTCCTTAAAGCTCTTACAACACCCAGTCACCAGAAGTTTCTAGTGCAGTCAGGAGTTTCTTGATCTTCAAGAAATTTCTCTAAATTCTTCCTTATTTCTGCTTTCAGTTTTAAGAAATGCTTCTCTACTGTAGGGTTTGTAGGATCTTTGTTTTCTGCCCAAACTCAAATCCACGTGATAGGAGGGAAAGAAGGGGTTATTTCAGTATTTCAGATTTTTTATTCTGGTTGATTGTTCAGTGAAATGGCAGATTGTGTGTCTATCTGTGTCCACTATAAAAACTAATACCATTGTTGAGCTGCTTTCTTCCCTGGCAGGGAAAGTGGGGACAAAAACCCCTGAATGAGGCAGAAAATTTGGCTTGTGTGCCAAGAAAAATTTGCGAGCAAAAACAATTAAGCTCATGTGTAACTCTTTTAAGACTTTAATGTTTTTCAGAATCATTTTTTGTGTATTGAGCAGTACTGTCGCAGCATCAGAGATTTAACTGTTACGTATTTTCACTATGTAGTCTTGTGCAGCTCTTGCTGATAACAGTCGTTTAAAATGTCAGTGCAACTGATGAAATCAGATGGGCCATGCACCGTTGGGTTTGAAAGCTGTCACTGAGATGTATAACTGTATTTTTATTTTGCAGTTGCTTCATGAAAGTTTAAAACCACCACAAAATAATGTATATTAATTAATTCAGTAATGCAGAGTGTTCCAAGATTGTTTTTTATCTGTATAATATAGCTTAAGGGGGAATTACTTACTTTTGTTTGTGAAAAATTAGCATCAGTAAAGAATTTTGTGGTGCACTGTCTGGATTTAACTAGGTTTTTGAGTATTACTCAACATAGTTGAGTCGCAGCATTTTTCAGAAATGTCTTGTGTCACAGTGGGAGCTGCTGAGCTTTGAGCATGCCTTTTTGTGATTGTTCAAAATTTAAACTTAGTGACCTGTTTCAAACATCTGTTTTCCACCTGCTGCATTTACTTTAGCATGGGTAAAGTCTCTATGAAGCAAGACTATAATCGATTAAAACTCTTTTTCCTTTCAATTAAAGTATGACATTGCTAGTCTGCTCCTTCATCACTCTCCCGGCTGCTGGGAACATCATGAGACTATTTTCTTGCAAGTATGACCCTCAGTATTAATTTATCTAGATTTTATGCCGTTTCTTCTATGGACAATTCCTAGGCACACTCAAGGTAACAGCGGGCAAGAAAAATTCTTATGTCATTTTAAGAAACAGGACCTTAGAAGATAAAATAGGATTCATCTTCCAGTTATCCCTGAGCAAAAGGTGCAGCTTTGCTGTTCGGTATACGTTTTGAATCTACTTAATTTTCTTGTAACAATGAGGAGAGAGTGAGATTTTTGTTTCTTAGAGAATGCTCAGAAAGGAAATAATGCTACAAAATCATTCAGATTCCCTGTGGAACTGAGTTGCAAAATCAGATCCAATGTTAACTGTGTGGGCAGTACAGGGGAGACTCCAGATTTTTATTTTCAGGATGCTCTTCTGTGGTGCTTCCAGTTTACTCCATGTCCCTGTTGAAGAGCTCTGCCTCTCCAACATAACTAGTGCTGCACTAGACTTTCTTCTGGTCAAGAGGCAACTAATGGAAGTCCTTTCTTATTCTCTATTTTCCTTTATTTATTGTCACTGATGGTCATTAGCTGAAGCATTACCTGTGCATGAGCTAACACACTCTTTAAGCCTGGTTATCTACAGAATAAATGGCAAGGTCAGACACCTAGCATTTTAACTTACTTTTCTGCACTCTGTTATATCCTGAGAGGAGCAGTTCACCATTCAAAAACAGAACATGAATAACTAGAGTAAGGGTTCAGTGGCTGGGATACCTCTCTTTGATGCAGCAGAACCAAATTTAAATTCTCTTTCACATTTCCTGGATAACCTTCAGCAACTTCTAAAACAGTTATGGCACATCAGGTGGAAAACGTGATGGGAAATGTAGTTGCTAGCTAGCCATGGCTTCCAACCTCATCACCTCTTACCTGTGGAAAGAATTGGAATGCAGTTAATTGTGTGAAGGAAATCAGAGTTGCTGCCCTTTTACAAGATGGCTAGTTTGTTTTGCTGTTGCAAATGTACTTAGTATGACTTTAAATTTTTCTTTCATCCTGAGTGAGGAGAATAAGGTAATGATGACCATGTGAATATAGACTGCTTCTCTTTTGACAAGAACCAGAAGATTTTTTAAATAGAGATTTAATTTATCTTTAATTTCCCATCAAATAAGGCCCATTGAGATTAAGATGTTAATGGAAAATGACCGCATTAATGTTCTTATTTCAAAAACAAATAGGCAAAACCTGTAGAGGAGAAATATTTCTGAATTTCTGAGAGTATTAGAAACACTGCAGAGGAAAAAAATAATGAAATTTATTTGACAGAGGACTGCTAACTACAACAGACTTAACAAATAGGCATATCATAAAAAAAGTCAATATTCAGGGACACAGAAGATAGAGATGGAAAAGATATATTAGGTCATATGCTGCATCTCCTGCTAGAGTGTAATTGTTCATTGCAGTATATCTTTTATCTAGTGTAGCCTTAAATTGCTTAAAGCAAAGGAAATTCCTCTACTTCCTTTGGGAGTGTCTGCCACAGACTGAAGATCGCACTGTCAAGGGATGTTTCCAGACATTTAACCTAAATTATGCTCATTTTCCAGCCATTAGTGCTGAAGTTCCCTCCTTGGTGCTTATACCTCTCAGAAGGACTTTGCCATCATAGTCTCTTTTGTATTGTTTGCTAATTATGCAAACAAAAGGCAAGTCTCTGGAAATCAATAGATAATGACAGGGCAGGGTGGTGCTCTTAGATCCTAGTTGCTAGAATAGCAATGTGCACATATCTACACTTTCATCTTTGTTCCATGGTTAGTAGAGCACCTTTCCAGTAGGATGAATGAGCTGGAGGGCTATGGGTCACCATACTGCTTCCAAACCAAGTATGTAATGTACCCCTGTCTGGCATTGTGTTAGGAAGTGTACTCTTAACCCAAATGGGATATACAAAACCAAAGCGTAACAAGTCATGGCTGTTGCTATCTAAGTCTTTCAGGACACTTTGAGTACAGGTATCTCAGGTAGATCTTAATTTTGTGTAAGAATAAATGGTACATTTTGATAAACACCTTCTCGTAAGAGAAACAATTAAGCAGAGGTATGGAGAGGTCTAGCTTTTGTGGAGTGTGGGTTTATGTAGGAAAAATGTTACATTACATTACTCAGTGCCTCACACTGGTACTCTCCAGTCTTTCTGTGGGCCTTCGAAGTAAATAAATTTAAAATTCCAGCTCTAATCACTTTCTAAAATATGCCCTTCTTATTCATTCTCACACCATAACTCTGAACCAGGAGAGTTTCAGTATTTTGGCATCTGTTAGTTTAACCCAAATGACAGGTAACGGCATATTCACAAAATGAAAAATGTTTTTTCATTGTTTCCGTGAAACCTTCTCTTGAAAATGCATTTTTTTTCCATAGACTCCTTCGCTGTCTTTAAATACTGGTGACACCTTTATCTCCACCCTGTCACACAATTTTCCTGTATCTTAGAGTCTTGCTGCCAGATGAGGACGCTGGACAGCGGGATTGGAACTTTCCCCCTCCCTGACTCAGGGAACCGATCCACAGGGCGACATGTTTCTAAGCCAGATTCAACTTTGCAGATAGAAGTCCTTGCACAGTCTGAGCAAGTTCTTCTTTCAGCTCCTTCAGTAAAAGCCAAAACTCTTGAGCGAGAAGTGCCTTCAACAGCTAAGAGCCAGGAGTCTGTGGAAAGCATAATTAGTCACTCAACATCTGATCCGGCCATGACTGCCAAAGGTATACGACCTTTTCAAAGTCACCTTCTGAAACCAGCTTCCTCAGGTAAAATGTCAATTACGCTGAAAATCACATTATTTCTGCCCTGATGTCTGTTTTGATTAGCAGAAGTCCTATAATAATGACAATTGATAACAGAAATGTTAAATGCAGAGCAGATGTTCTTTTTATGAATGCATAAGGTTAAGAAGTTTGTGACCTGAACTGTATAGAAATTTTGTTACACATAATGCTTATCAGAGAAAGAAAAATGTGTTAAGTACTTAAATCCTTTTCTCAAGAAACAGTACTTGAAGAAAAAACATGGCAGCCTCAAAATTTGACTTTGTAAAGAATGCAGATGATCAGCAATATTCAGGATCAGACTTTGCAGCAAAGTACAAAGCATAGTCACGCTGTGACGTAGAAAAGATGCATTCATAGAGACTCGCTTTTGAAATCAGACTTGGTCTAAAAAACTCATTTGGCCTCAATGCTAACAAATATATGGTCTGGACCTCAAATAAGACTCTCACTACTTTACTACATTATACGAATACATTTCTATAGACAAACATAAAATACCTTACTTTCATTGATCAGCTGCATGCAAACTTTATATTTAAACTATAAAACAAAAACTGGCAAAGGAATAAAAGGTATCCAGGAAAGCACCAACAAATAACTTGAAATTAGTTATAGTAAATGGTTCCATTGAAATCTGCATTTTTTCATAAATGCACACTGACCATTTATATATGTTTTTGAAGGGTTTTGAATTATTGATATGTATGTCAACAATGATAGAAACTATACATAAAGTGTTTAGAACAAGGAATTTTTCATAGTCAGCATGATAGATATTGTACAAGAAGCAGTAAAAGTAATTGGTTTAATGGGGAAGAGTATTTTTTTATCTTGACCCAGTGCAATATTGTGTATTTATTGGGGTTATGGTTGTTAGCACTTTGTCAGTGTTTTTATTGCTTCTGTAAAAGTTGTGAGTATTTAACTTGCATAAATCTGCATCACTCTAAGAGAGTTTTGATGTAATTAGCATGTAAGGTTAAATATCAAGTTTAAACTTAGTTTAAGGCCATCAAGTATGTATTCTGCTAATGAGCTGATGTATATTGAGCCTAGGAGGAAAAAAAACCACCTCTTTTATCTGTAATCATAACAGAAGAATTCTAATTAAACATCTTAGAACTTAGTTGATTTAGCAATATTCCCAGTGTGGTATTGTAATGGTATAATAGACTGCAAACATGCATCATATGCTTCCTTGCAGACTCCCCTACTTGTTTCAAATAAAATCTAAATAAAGTATATTTTAATGCTTAGTATTTTTAAATGTACTGTTAATTAATGGTACAGCTAAGACAGATTCAAAAGTAAAATCTTAGTTATAGATTATATGCTACATGCTTCAATAGCCACATGTGTGACCTCAATTCAGCAGTGTGCTAGAGTCCATGATTAAACACTGTCATTATAACAAATTGAACAGAAACTGCAAGCGTTGAATTGCTTCTTAAGAAATCAGCAGCAGTAAGATTGTTCTGATCTCAATGCTAATATTCACTGCACCAACCTTGTAAGGTTTGTATCTTAATTAAATTGTCATGAAAAGATGTTAAAAAAAAGTAGTATACATCAGATGGTGGGGTCAGCTCATTCTTTACTAGAATATTTTCATTCGATTATTCTCTCCCTCACTTTCTCATCCAAATTACAATTACCACTTTATTTCATATGCACCATATATCTTCTCTGATGTTCCGATTTTGCATAGTGCAAATATAGCAAATAAAAAGGCTAGCTTTCTGCTAGAAAGGTACTTGTAGTTATAATTATGGTAAAAGACTGTTCTCTCTCTGAGAACATAAAATAGCAAAGCAGATCCTACAATGCCTAGAAGTAGTTATTGAATGTTATTTCTTATTTGAAAGAGTATATATTTTAAAACTAATAGAGGGATTTAAATTCATGCTTTCCTCTTCTCTTGGTAATAGGAAGAGGCTTTGGATCAAATTCGGCCATGGTACTTGTTAGAATTATTCCAGTATGTTAGTAAGTTTTTCCTTGGAGTAGTAAAATATTATTTGACATAATGACTTGCCCTCAGTTTTTACTGAATTATAATTGAAACACTGTCATGAAGGTGCTGATGAGACCTACAATTTAGATAATGCCTCTCTTAATTCAGGAATAATTAATCTTGCAAAGCAAATTGAACAAGAACCAAGTTCTATGACCTCTGCCTCATTAAAGCATACTGAAGAAACTGTGGAAAATAGAAAAGTTCTTCCAGAGTGGACCACCAAGAAAACTACTAAAACAAAGGTATAAGTTAAGAAGTGTCATTTATTAAATGAGATATGTATTGTGTTGTAAAGAAGCAGAAATGGTGAATGGTTTTCATATAGTGGGAAGAATAGCAATCATAACAGCTACATTTACTTTCTCGCCCTTCATTTGCAATCCATTATTTATTAATAATAATAATACAGCTCCTAAGGGTACTTTGCCATCATAGTTTACAAACATGTTTTTATTACAATCCTCACAGGCGTTTTATAGACAAAGAAATGGAGACCTTTTCCCCTGTTTTTCTCTTCAAGGAACTTGATTTCATTTGTTTTCTTTCCATGAGTTTCATATCACATTTTTTTCTCCATGTTGAGGTTTCCTTGTCTGTGTGGCCATGTATATGAGTCTTTGAGCAGATGTGCTATGACAGTATTGTCATCAGGAAAATTCTTACATGTTTCTGTGTTGTTTGGTTAATCCCTGCAATGATCTCTCTGTCCTTCAATCCTGTCATGAAAACTGCTGGAAGAATAAACAAGCAAATACCTGTGTAAAAGCTATTTCTGATGCCTGTCAAGTTATTCATATTCAGGAACGCCAGGCTGTCAAGACCCATGAGAACTATAGGGTCAGCAGGGTAGCAAAGAGAGAAAAAAATTTATCAAGAAAGTGGGTGTTAAGCGAGGAAACAGACTGCTGGCTAATAAGTCTTACATTACAAGAGGCTAAAAATATTTCGTCGCAGAGCTTTTTTGTGTGTCTGCTTTATCCATGTATTTACCAAGTGGGAGCCCTAGTTTCCTTCATACCCTCTCCTGGGGCAGTCTGTGCCAAGGATGCACAGAACCTCTGGGCCAATCACAATGGGGTGCTTTTCCCACTCATTCCAAGTCATGCTTATGTCAGCCTCCGATACAATTGGCTGTTAGTATTTCCCTGCCACGTTAGAAATACAGAAATGGGTTCTGCCCTTTATAGCTTAATGGAATTAGGGTACACTGTGAACCCATCTACTGCAGCCTTATACTCCTGTGGGTCTGATATGCCTATATTTATATGACTCATGCTCAGGGTATTTAGAACAGAAATGGGGAGATAAAATTACTTGCATGGCCTTGAGAAATTAGTGGTGAATACTCTGTAGTGCAGTAGTATTGGCCTCCAAGTAACCACATCAGTGTGGTCTTCACCATGAACCAGTCGTGAATGACCACTCTCAGTCCCAAAACCATCTTAACACAAAACATATGTTACTGCTAATTAGTCTGCCTAAGAGTGAAGTCAGTGTGGGTATAGCTGGTATACGAATGTGTCTAAATGGCTTCAGGACTACAGCCAGGTAAATGTTAGGCACAACGGGTGTGAATTTAGGAAGAATTTAGGATTTACTGGTATAGAAAGCGTGAATATTGTCTACTGGCCCTCCTAATTGTCTCTAGAATTGCTAACAGCAAACCATTTGTTGTTTGTGTGATAATTTTGCATGTTACAAATACATTCTATTAAACATATTTGAGTAGTTTAAAATTAAACTTGCTGGGTGAAATTATCTGAGGATGTTGGTAGATTTGAAAACAATGTTACAGTGAAAAAAAATGGTACAATCTGGGCTGTTTCTGCCAAACTAACTGAGGAGACTTACCAGGACAAGAATGTGTTATTTCCACCATATCAGATTGATGATTACTTACTTGAAGGAGAAGTGGTTAGTTAAATGGGTATTGCAGACTTTTTTCCAGTTGAAATATCCATGTATACTGCATGATGAATGTAAATGTTCCACTCTTAATACCATCTTCAGCATTATTTTTATATATATGCATCATCTAAATAATTGCAATACATTTATTTGTACAGAACAGAGCTCTCAGAGTGTGTACTTACTCTGCAAGCAGCAGTGACACTGAACTGGAGCCAGAGTATGAAATAAGTTATTTTAGAACTGCAGAGGCGACTTTTGTAGAGTTAACAAAGAACAACAAACAAGGTAATTGAAAATCTGCACGGAAAAATGTGTATCATCTCCACTCTGACTCAGCAGCAGATAGTGTCCTTTATTGAACTTTTTGTCTAGTTTTCACTTTCTACCCCCAGATCTTACTTCAGTCTAATTTTCCATTAGCTTTTTATTACCTTTTGCTTTTTATTATGTACATATCTTTTTTTCCTTTCTTCCACAGTTTTTGGTAGCAGGGGTTATTTGTAGGTTTTTATGCATAAATCCCTGCAGTGTAAGTAAAAAGAAGTTTTCTGTTACATTATTACAAAATATAAAAGGTGACTATAAAGATAACTTCCTTTTCTTTTTAATTGTATTAGCCAGTTGAAATAAAGCAATGATCAAGGCCACAGTTTCCCAGTCTCTGTATCAAAGTGCCTAAGTGGAGTGTCTCCCCTTGAGCTCCATGTAAATAGTGCCATTTTCAAATATCAAACCTTTTTGCAAGAATTGATGGCAATTTGGAATTTACTGAATTCCAGCAGATAAAAACACATTAAGTGAAGTTCTTGAGATAATAGTTTTGTGTGCTTAATAACCCAAGAAATCGCTGTTGTCTTGACCACTGGCTGGCTGTGATGCAAGCTTCCTTTCAAGGCAGATGTGAGCTGTCTGAGAGGGGGAGGAGGGTGGAGCTGGTATCCTTGCCTACGCAGCGGATGGCTTCCCTGCAGGAGATAAATTCTGGCAAGTGCAAAGGCCAGTGCAGGGTCTCACCACCACTGGAGCCCTCACAGCTTAAGCTGATTCATAGGAGTTGCGCTGAACCCTCTGCACAGCAGTAAGCTCAACCTAGCAGACATTAGCACCTATAGTAGATACCGCAGAATGTATTAAAAATGCCATGGATGGCTAGATCCTGTTGACAAACACTTAACTGTGCTGTTAAGTGTCTGCTGGGAGGTGGATTTAAAACATTTGGCTTTTTCAGAGCTAATTCCTTTTTTGTGATTTCACCAGAGAGAGAGCAGAGTAGGAAGCCAGGACATTTATTTACATTACATTTTATTACATTACTCCTATAACTTTCTATTTTTAATCTATATGAAATGTTGCAAAACATTTAAGTCAGCCCATAAACACTTCTTTTTACAGGTTTACACATCATGTTCTAATACAAGAAAGATGTGTTTTGTTAAAGAGATATGCAGGCACTTTTTTCTGTATTGATCACAATTTGCAAGGAAAGGGGTTTATAGTGTGTAAGCAGTTGCATTAAATGGCAGCAGATTCCAAGTTTAATGATTCCTAAGGATGACTTGAAGTCACAATTTTACATAGAAAATCATTAATTTTGCATGTATGCCTAAAATTTTGGGCTAGTAACAACTAAAAATCATAATTATGATTAAGACAAATAGAAAAGAAAATTATAAAGCATTATTGCAGAAGTATTTCTGCTGTGGTCATTCCTTATGGTCAGGATTTTTGTTCTATGCTCTATAAATGCAGTTCTTACATCATATTAAGAACAATATTTCATTCTGTGTTTAAAGATCTTAGCTTCCTTATGCCCACAACTCAGAATATCCACGTGAGGCTGAGGCATAGGCTGCAGCAAACGAATTCATAAACAATATTTTTATATGCATAGATAATAGTATTTATTAGATGAGTCCCCAAAATATTGATGACATTTCATTGGTTGAACAATTATAATGTTGGAGTGATTTTAATTTTCCATTTATGAGCAGGGAACAGAAAGACTGAAAGACCTAGTGGCCGATGCAAAGGCTATTAAAAGTCAATGATAAGACCATCATTAATTTAGTGAGCTTTGGATGAGAATCCCAGTATATTGCCCAATGTTACAGAGAAGGTCAGTAGAATAGCGGGGAATAAGCCAAATATTCCAGGTTCTTCTGTTTCAACCATGAAAATGTTTTGCTTCAAATTTCATGAAGGTTTTATCCTGATGCAGTTCTGTTGGAGGCACTGGAGGCAGAGGTTCTTCTAATGCTGTAAGTTATAAGTAGAGCTTAAGTTTGTGTAACAAGAAGTGTGAGGAAAGAAACTAATGATCATGTAAGCCTCTGTCTCCTGTGCATTTTCATGAAGCTGCAGAAAATTTCTTTGGTTTTGTTTTGATCTTCTGAATAGGTTTTCAGCCTTGGACTTTGAGGTTTTATTCCTAATATTCATGTATTACAGTAGGATCTGTAAAACAGGGTAGGACCTGTTTTTTACCTTACCAGTGTATTTTTTATACTGTTGTATTCATTAGCTAAAAATGTAGTGAAAAGGATAGAATTATCAAATACAGTAAAACTGAAAGTCATGCTAGAGGAACTTAGCACATCTGCCATTTAAGACTATTAAGAGAGAAGAACAAAAACTATGACAAATAAGTGTAATGATCACCCCAAATTAACTGTCTCTTCTGTAATTTAAAAAGAAAGAGAATCAATTCTGGCTGTTTCATGCCATCTCTTTCGCATTGAATATTAAATATGAACAGTAGTCCTATTTATGTGTATTGATTTCAGAGTTAGGAGCCAGTATTTAAATGCTGTTATTACATTGAAACCCAGATACCTTAAAACTTTTTAAATACAATTTAAAATTGTAACATTATATTATAATGTATATAGACTTCAGTTCAACAATTAAATATGTCATAATAGTGTTATTTTTAACATCTCTTACAGCTGAGCAGAAAAAACAAAGTCAGAGAAAGTCATTTCTGGGGAACCCAATGTCAATCTTGGATTTATACCAACACAGTCTCTGTGGCCATTTTGGAGAGGATGGACCTGAACAATTAACGCATTACAGTTTAATTGAGCAGCTGAGTGGAGCTTCCAGTAAAGACAGTAAGGGCAAGGAGAACCCAAGTGTGAGTTACTATGATTTTTATATTACTTATCCTTTTCTTAATGATTTTCTTTTGTCTCTTGGTTTATCCTCAGTGTGTTGATTGATAACAAAAACCAGCATGACCTGCAGAAGAGTAAAGATGTAAATATTTTTAGAACAGTGTTACATTCTGCTGTTCAACTGTCATAGAATTAGACTTCCAAAATCTAATAGAGACAGGCTAGCACTAGCACTCTACCATTAGACAGTTTAAAAAAAAAGGATAGCAAGAAAAACAGAGAATTCAGAGAATTTACCTTTTAAGACTGCTCCTTCATGTAGTTAGATAATCATGTTAGATAGAACATGTAGTAAATCATCTAAACATCTGAAGTAGTATCCTGAAAATTCAAATGAAATCATGCTATGGAAGTCAGCTATCTTCTGGTCTCTTTTGAAATAACTCTTGGTGTTAGCTCTGGAACTCCTGATTTGAGGGCTTTAAACATTATTTTGAAGACCAGTTCCGATCTGATTGGTGGATCTTGATGCTTACTTGATGTGAATCCACTTACTATTTCTGTCTGTAAAAACACTGAACCTGACATCATGAAGTATCAACAACCCTGAATGGCAACTTCTCGACCTGCTCTTTTCCTCCTCTTTTCTCATGCCTTCTCCTCTCATGCTAACACTTTCTGACTTTTTCTCTTGTATACTCTAACAAGCCAATTTGTTTGAAAATGGAGCCACCCAGCCATAATCCAGTTTAAGCATTTTGCCTCCATGTTCAGTCTTTTTTTCCCAGCTGTTTTTTTTTAAATAGAAGCTCTTTTGTTTCTGTGTAGCACTCGGCACATTTTGGGTATGTTACATTATAAACAATGGTGGTAGCAAAAAATGATGAATGAGCTGCTGCTTTTGTAGCATACTGGTGTAGTTCATAAGTGAAAAAGAATATTTATCTCTTCACAAATACCAGTTTACAGCTTCATAAAATCACTGTGCATTGTAACTTCAGAGGTGATTAACCAAAGTTAGAGGATTTCAAGAATCTGGGCCAAACGTGCAGAAGGAATATGTGGAACAAACTGGCAATGCCCAGTTTGCTCCAACTCGGCTGTCATTAAAGCCCACCTTAACTGAATATAAATTGACACACAAACTTCAAAGAAAAATCCTGAAACTTGTCTGCTTCATTTCCTGATCAACCAAATTTCACTAGCACCCAGAATACGATGCAATTTGAACATATTTGGGTCACATTAGAAGGAGCAATTTTTAAAGAATCTGGCTTCATAGGTAGGAAGAAGAGAACTTAAAAAAAGAAAAAAAAGGAAGGTAGCAGAAGAGTATTAAAAAGGATAGATGAAGGAAAATGCCTTGAACATACACTTAATTCCTCATCTTGAACATCTAGAAATCCACAGCTTAATTATGCAGATGAGATTAATTATATATGTATATATGTATTTATATAAAAATATATAAAAATCAGTTCTGCCTTCTGAAGGCTTTTACAATTAACAGAGCAGTTAAGGTTTGGTTCCACTACAGAAAAGTGGCTCAGAGTTGCATCTACTTTTAATTAATCCTTCTTGTGCAATTTTTGCATATGACATCTCTGCAATGTACCCAATCAGCATCAAAACTTAAACAAAACTCAAAAAAACCTCATTAAAGTAGCCTTAGGATCCTTGTAAAAATCAACCATTAAACTAGAAGACAAGAGGTAGAACTCAGCACTAGCATTTTTCATGCATTCTGTTGGAGGGCTTTTGAGATTACTCTTTAAGGATATGAAATAGCTCTCAAAACAGCATTGCCTCTCGGTGAACACTGAAAGCTCAGTAAAGCACTAGAGATTTGCCTATTAGTATTAAACTTTTCAGAATGACAAATGAGAGCCAGTAACCATGAAAAACAGGTTGCCCTGAACTTCTTATTTGAACTAGCACAGCAAATTTTTCTAAGCTGTACTTTGTCCAACCCAAGAAGATCCACAGTCTGTGTAAATTAGAATTGTGTGATCTGGAACATTACACCAAAAACTGAGGCACTTATGGCCAAGAACTGAAAAAAAAAAAAAGAAAAACCCAACATAAATTGGGGGGGAGGGGAAATGAAGCTTTCATGCAGATTATTTGGCATTTTGAAAAAGGAAATGCTGCGCGCTTTGAATTTTGTTTCCAAATAGAGTGTGAAGCCTTTAAAAACGAAAAGAAAAAAAAAATTGTTGTGATGGGCAGAATGAGGATTTTACTCTGCGTGTTGAAAGAGCAGGCTGCTGTATCAGTTCCTCTGCTCAGCTAAATTGGACTTTACAGCACTGGTACAATAGTGGCTTCAGACTGGGTGCTCTAATGAGACATTCTGGTGGGAAGCTCTGTTAACCCACTTACTGTCTTATGAATTGTCTCCTCACTGAACATATTCACCAGCATTGCCCCAGCGTACATACACAACAAGTTTTATCAGCAAAGAAGTATTGCATGGGAGGAGTTTCAGAAGGGAAACGACCAGTGGGCAGTTGCTGTGAAAAAGGGACACTGCATGGGCAGTTAGAGGAAGCAAAAAAGGCTTTTACACATGGAAAGGGGAAATATTTATTTTTCCAGTTTCTTATCTGCCAAGTCTTAAAAAGCATCCTGGTTAAATTCATTTGGCAGTAAGACCAATTTTATTTTGCATTTATTTTGACCTGAGAAACTTATACTGAAATAATGTCATCATTTCACTGCAGAATTTTGGACAAGAAAAAGAGAAAACAATTTCAAAGAAAGGAATAAAATGCATTGAATGCTGGGCAAAAACCTTTCACTTAAATAAAGAGTCATGGTGTATTTGCCTCATGTAAGATCTTCAAAACAAGAAACAGTAATTTTTATGTGTGTCGGATTAATTTTAATTGAACAGTAACTTCTCTGATTTAGTAAAACATACATAGCACCTGATCCAAAGTCCACTGCAGTCAGCCCATGGAGGACACCTGTCCAGTGCAACTGCAGTGAGGCCTGCACTAAACAGCTGTTCCTCTTCCTTGCAGGAGTAGTTGTGCCTTGAGCAGTTTGCTGACATCATGATTGCTAACATATTTTTGCAAGGAAGAAATTATTTCACATTTCAATGAACTTATTGTTTAGACTTTAAAAGCTCAGTGGTTTATGTTTTCCTCATAAGAATTCAGAAAACAAGATAAATTTCCCTCACCCAGGCCCATTCTTTATGAACAATGAGAGCCAATACAAGACTTCTTGTCATCTTCTTTATTCCCTTGGAGAAGTAACTGAGATGGTCAAAGATTTTATTACTTAATCATCCTTATGATCCTGAAGCATCATGAAAAATGTATTTTCTTCTCTATTCTTAACCAGCCACCACATAATTTTTTTTTGTAATGCAGCCCTTCTTGCTTTCCTTTGTCCCTATGTATTACTCCATTTGTGTCACCATCAAGGCTTGCTTGTATTTCAAGGCGTGACTTGAGCACTTTAAAGAAAAGACCCTTCGTGGAAGAGGCTGGTGCCTATCACAGGTATCTAAATCCTCTTGTTTTCCCTCAGTTATGATAACATACATAACAAATGTGACATTTCTGGCACAGCTACAATGTTAACTGCATCAGCGGTTTAACTAGGAGGCTCATTTAACGGAAGAGGCTGTATGTGCAATGTGAAGTTACGGTCTTATTCAACACAGCAGAGTTTGTATGTGTTGTAGAGATGATTCATGAAGGAGATCAAATGCTCAAATCACCGTGTCTTGCAATTCAAGTATATATTAGAACTCACTGGCAAATACAGGAAAAGGAAGAATTAGAGAAGTTGCTGCTGGTTTGGCTGCACTTAGAAATGGGACTGATGTGGCGGCATTCCTAGATAAACTCAAGGTTTTTTGCAGCTGAGTAAGCTGATTGGGAGTTAATGCTATATGATTGACTCATTTTGCTCACAAGGCTTCTAATAGATTGTATTAACAGAAGGGAATATCCACAAAAGGACTAGAAGCAAGAATAAGGAAGTTTGGTAATTGCACAACGCTTGCCATCCTCAAGGATCCCAGAGCACTCAGCTAATTGTATAGAGGATGTTCCAGCATTCCTGAATTGCAGCAATAATTAAAACAGCCTAGACACCTCTGTAGGCTACACTAAATAAGAATAAGGGGAAAACAAAAGGCAGGAATTAGATGCTTCTGTGTCTCATTCTGTGTCTCTTCTCTCACAGAGATCAGTAGGTCTTGAGCTAGGGTATGAATTAGCAGCACACTGGGCACATTCAGCTATTTAGGCAGATCTTGCAAAACATGCTAGCAAAGTTTATGTGCCTGATTTGGGTTCTCTGAGTCACTTTCTGAAGGTGCCTTACTCTCTCTGAAAGAGAGAAGCTCTTAGGGTCCTAAATAAAGCCCTCTTAAAAGACATTCTTAGGCTCTTAAAAATAGAGTCCCTCTTAAAAGACACTCCATATTTAAATGTCTGAAGTAGTTCCAGGGAGACAGTGTACACTCTGCTTTCACAGAGAACTAAATTTTTTTAACATTCTAGATATGTTGAAGGAAGGATTCCACTTATCACATATGAAAAAAACCTAAGAGAATGAGTTTAGTCCAGCTGACAGTTGGAAGAGCTTCATCCTAAGAGTTCAAAGTGGGAAGGTGTTTTGACCTATGGAACTACTTGTTTCCTTGCTTTGACCAGCAAAAGGGAGCCTATGCAGCTAGCTTGTACTGAATACCAAACTTTCAACTCAAAGTTAGCAAGATGAACATTGCCCCAAGCTTTCCTCTGTGGGGAACTAGTAAAAAGTAGCTGTTGTAGCTACCATTTGTATTTTAGAAACTGCACCTCAGTGCGCCCTCAAGTGAGCACTAAATAATTACCTTGCTTATACTTTCTTAATAATGAGAGTTCCTGCAGCTGGGGCAGCACTGGGTATCAGGCTAGTTGCTTGGTCTCAGGATCTCAGTTTCACTGTCTGTAAACTCGGGACTGCAATACCTATCTCATGTTACAACCAGAAAGAAAACAGTAAATGCTCT